TGGAACTCCTGGGACGCCTGGACATCCTGGAACACCAGGAACGCCACTACAACCTGGTTACCCTGGGATACCTGGAACTCCCGGAACGCCTGGACATCCTGGAACACCAGGAACACCACCACAACCTGGTTACCCTGGAACTCCCGGACATCCAGGATCTCCAGGAACGCCAGGAAGACCGCCTCAACCAGGATACCCTGGTACTCCCGGGCAACCTGGACATCCAGAAATACCAGGAACACCGTCTCAACCTGGATACCCTGGAACGCCCGGAGTCCCGGGTATACCCGGAACACCTGGGCGGCCAGGCAAGCCTGGAAAACCAGGTCATCCTGGAAAGCCTGGTAAACCGGGAACACCTGGAACGCCGCCGCAACCTGGATATCCTGGAGCCCCAGGTCAACCTGGACTGCCTGGTATACCTGGAACGCCTGGAACGCCACCGCAACCTGGATATCCTGGAACTCCGGGTCAACCTGGTATACCTGGAACGCCTGGAACACCTGAAAAACCGGGTAAACCTGGTAGACCAGGTAAGCCTGGCAAACCCGGCAAACCTGGTAAACCATGTAAACATGGCAAACCAGGCCACCATGGTACTTGCGATACACCCGGGAGCCAACCACCTCCATTAGAACCTACATATCCTGGAACTCCAGGTGTCGAAGGTCCGCCAGGTACACCTGGACTTCCACCGTATCCCCCTCATCCGGGATATCCTGGGACACCCGGAATTCCTCCTTATCCGCCACAAACAGGTTACCCCGGGACACCAGGCAGTCCTGGATCTTCTGGTAGCCCTGGCACACCTGGATATCCCGGCACACCCGGCCATCCTGGCACTCCAGGAACACCTGGAACGCCCGGTATACCGCCACAACCTGGATACCCTGGTACACCTGGAACACCCGGAACACCCGGAATACCAGCACAGCCTGGATACCCCGGTACACCTGGTACTCCAGGACATCCTGGTACGCCTGGGAGACCTCCACAACCTGGATACCCTGGGACTCCTGGAACACCCGGTCATCCTGGAACTCCTGGAATACCGCCACAACCTGGATACCCTGGCACACCTGGTACTCCAGGACATCCAGGAACTCCTGGAACACCTGGAAGACCTCCACAACCTGGATACCCTGGTACACCTGGAACACCTGGAACTCCCGGAACACCGGCACAGCCTGGATACCCTGGTACACCTGGAACTCCAGGATATCCTGGAACACCTGGAAGACCTCCACAGCCTGGATACCCTGGTACTCCCGGAACGCCCGGTCATCCTGG